TAAGTGATTTACTTTTGTGTGTTTTTGTCAGGCAGAAATTTATTTATACCCCCTTAGGGTGTAAGAGGTTAACACCACCCAGAACTGAAAAAAATCCATATGGAGTCCGTATGTTGGCTTAGTCTAAGTGACCTTCCATTGGTTGAAATGATTTTTGGAGTCAAATAGTCACATTTCCTTTCAGTTAATGATTGGATTACAGAAAATCTATTTCAATCATTAAGTGCAGGTACAAACAAATCCCCCCACCAGTGAGTGATTTGATCAATGTTGTGAATAAAACTTCCAGTGGCATGGAGGTTTATTTCATACCAGGAAAAATCTGCTACATCATTAACATTAAACTGTATAAAATGATGCTGGAGCAACATGAGTGGCACACAAAGCACAACACAGGAGATCTTCAAGCACTGGTGTGATAAAATGTTTAGGGACACAAAGATAAACTATTGATACATTAATCTAAAAGGAGTAAAGGGCAGGAGCACAATCTCTGAAGAGTTGATAATGAAAATCTTTGTTTCGAAACAATACCTCTCTCTTCCCTTTTCTGTGACACATCTGTCGACCGATAACCCGGAGACCGGGCCAAACCTGACGACTTTGATTTGTTTCAGGAAACCAACCCCCCATGTATTACCCATGTTCCAAGTAACGAGCGCCAGCATATTTTTAGTGTTGTGATAAATTCTCTCGACACCCTCCAACTGCACCCCCTCTATGTCTGCTGCTCTGCTGTAAATCTGTTTCCATCCAGCAGCAGAAGGAGCAAAGCGGTCAGTGCAGGGCAAGAACTGGGGGTCTTCTTTAATTCCAACCCCCCGGTCCTCCCTTCCCCCAGCGCGTTTGCACAGTCTGGACGCAGCGACCCTTTTCTAGGTAAAACAACCAGATGATTTTAATTAGAGTACACAGGAAGCACCATCGATGGCATAAAAACCAACTCCCAACAGATGCTGAGAGTGAAAACTTCAGCCCACCTCTGAGATGTTACACAATGAATTCATTTGTTGAGAAAAAAAAACAAGGGTGAATAGAGAGCACTAGTTAAAGCATAACAAATGCAGAGTGATAAACCTCTGGGTTCAATCTGAATGTCAAACAGCACATCTTAGACGAATGTCAGCGGAGAAGAGAACTACTGTGTTTTACAGCAAAAAAGAAAAAGTCCTGATGCACGTGTTGGATCATTTGAGTAAACGACTCCTAATGCAAATCTTGGAGTTTTCATGGGAAACTTGTAGAACTGCTGCAGCAAAGAGGAATCACATGGTCATATAATTCAAAACACTCCCAATAACAGAGCTGACTGCCTGAGAGGAGAAAGTCAGAGCCTGTGTGTTTCCTCTCTGGATGGGGGGGAGGATCATATCCCTCTGGTGTCCATTGAAAAACAAAGAATGATTAATTATCTAACTTATCAGATTGTGCCAAGAGCAGGAAAATCCTTCTGCTAAATACACAACCTTATTATTAGAGAAAAACTTCATTTAGATGTGAAATTATTTGTTAGACTTAGATTGAACTTTATTTATCTCTTGGGATTACTCCTTCGGGGAAATTCTGGTTCAAGTAGCTTATATAGAGTACAAAGAGTTAAAGATAAAAATACAACAGACAATATAAAAATATTGTAATGTATCGTATTGTAGGACAAAAAATGCATAAAAAAGAAAAAGTTGTAATGTTCTTGAATATGTTTCCCTTAGATATGGTAATGATTCTCATCCAGGTCATTGCAAAAAAGTAAAAAAAACAGAACCACTGGACTTGGTTTCAAATTTGTAAGACGTTTTGCTTCCCGTCCAGGAAGCTTTTTCAATTCAAAATGTTAGAAATAGTATTTAGTTTGAGGCTTTGTAAATAAGAAGGATCCGAAACGACCCCCATTACTAAAGGGCGGACCTGTTTGTCTGGTTCAATTTGCATGTTTTCTAAGCCAAAACAAGGCTTTGTTTTTGGTCCACTCTATAAAGCCTCGAACTCAACTTTTTTAGACTTTCGATTAGATATAATAATATCTGCACGGTAGAGAGCTAAGGGAAGGCTACATATTACTTGACTTGGATTATTGCACTTGTACTGGAGAAATGTACTGACCTTATAAAATAAGTAAGAAATTACACAGGCTACATAGTAGTGGTATTTCTCGGAGAGAGAGAAGAATATTGTACGAGTGACAATAGGTAATGTTTTGCATCTTCCTATCACCTCCTTTTTACCCAAAGTGAAGAGTTTTACAGCTTCATGGCTTGGGGGACAAAGGAGTTCAGCAGTCTGTTGGTCCTGCATTTGGGGAGGAGCAATTTCTCACTGATCAGGCTCCTCTGAGTGGTGAAGACAGTGTGCAGAGGGTGGCTGGCATTGTTCATAATGTCCAGCAGTTTGTTAAGTGTCCTTGTCTCTGCCACAGTCCCCAGAGGGTCCAGCTTCTTGCCAATCACAGAGCCACCTTGCCACGCCAGCTTGTCCAGTCTGGAGGTGTCTTTCTTGGATGTGCTGCTCCCCCAGCACACCACGGTGGAGAAGAGGACATTTGCAACCACAGACTGGTAGAACTTTCCAACAGTTTATTGCGGATGTTGAATGTCCTCAGTCTCCTCAGGAAGTCCATCCTGCTCCTTCTCTTCCTGTGCAGGTGGTTGGTGTGTGTTGACCAGTCCCAGCCACACCCTAAGGTATTTGTATGAATCCACAGCCTCCACCTCAGCCCCCTCCAGCAGTACCAGCTTATTCCTTGGTCCGTTACTCCCAAAGTCTATGACAAGCTCCTTCGTCTTGGACATGTTGAGCTCCAGGTGGTTGGTGCGGCACCAACCAGACTCCTGTACTCCTCTGTTGTCCCTGATACACCCCACAATGGCTGTGTCATCTGCATACTTCTGTATGTGACACAGCTTAGAGTTGTAACAGAAGTCCGAGATGTATAAGGTGAAGAGCACAGGGGCCAGTACTGTGCCCTGAAGGGTTCCAGTGCTGCTGACCACAGAGATGGTGTCTTTCAGCCTGACATAACGTGTCATGTCTGTGAGGTAGCTGGAGATCCATGCTACCAACCAGGAGTCAACTCCCATGCTATTCAGTTTGTCTCTGAGCAGGGAGGGCTGGATGGTGCTGAATGCACTTGAGAAGTTCAGGAAGAGAATCCTTGCTGTGGCACTTGTTCTTCTCTATGGTAGCATCAAATTAGCTAATATTCTTGTAAAGACAATCTCAATTGATTTCTTAATATGACAACAACCTTTTTAACATTTACTTTACAACTGAATGTGGGTAATTTTCCAACTTAATTTGTATACATGCACCAAACTGCACCAGAGGTATACTTGTTGATACCATGTGCAACAATCAGTTTGATTTTTGAGTTTTCCTTCAGCAAGATCCTGCTTCAAGTATCTCTTTCGAAAGCATAGAGGTTTTGCGGGTGATTGACAGGTCGAGTCACAGGAGTTGGAGGCGCATTGGAGAGAGACAGACAGAAATGGCGCAAGAAACATTGTTTTCCAAGACCTGGTTTAGCAAGAAGGCTTGGCTAACTGCATGCTGCGAGGTTAACGCTTTATTCTGCTTTCCTGCCTCCTTTTTCAAACGTCAGGATCTGACCCAGCATGGATAAAGACAGGTAGGACAGATTTAAAGCCCTTTGTAGAAAAGGCAAAGAAAAATAAAAAATCTGGGATTCACATGGAAATAATATAGTATAGTCTACTTTTTCCAGATGTTTGTTAATTTTCCTAGTTGCCCTTAAATAAACACATTCTCAGAAAATAAATAGTTTTTATACATTAGAAAATATAGAGCTGACAAATAGATTCTCCATTATCAAACTGGTACATAATTTTTTTTTTTAGGTTTGTGACACAATATTACACAATGGAAAAGACAGATTTGACTTCACAAAGCCTCAGAAGAGCAAGATTTATGTACAAAAAGTAAACCTGTAAATGAAATTATGTTTTGTTTTTATAATGTTTTTGTTGTTGGCATTCATAAAAATATGCTGGTGAGATAACTTAGTATACGTTTGATGGGTTTTTGGCAAATGTTTATTTTGAATTTATAGCCCCCTCTGGAGAAAACTCCCCCAGCTGCCACTGATTTGGACTCATGATATATAAAAAATACTCTTACTGAATAAGTACGTTTTTTTTGGAATGCTATACAAACGTAATGAAAATTATGCACCCTGTGCAGACTGTTCAGCTCACTTTGAACACGTTTTATAGCGGTCTTGAATAATCAGTACACAGAGAGAATGTAGACTTCTTATTTTCTCACCTAATAACAGCCAGTTTAAGGTCAGGGACACAAATGTTGTCCTCCCCGCAGTCCAGCTGGATCTGGGCCTGGTGGGGAAAGAGGGACAGAAATAAATAGGTCAAGATGGAGGAGCAACAGATAAGGACATGAGGTGAAATTAGGACAAAATACACCATTTCTTCTTCTTCTCAATTAATCGATTTCCAATATTCTATTGACTGGAAATGCACATAATGCTGATGCTAAAAACTAAGAAGGCTACTCCCGCCAAAAAACAAAGACAATAGGTACAAAAAGAGATGGCGCTGGTCGGACTTGTCAATTTGGAAGAAGAAGAACTTCCTTGTTTGCACATGCGCAGTGCTTCAACAGCAGGATTTGTCCACAACCACCTCATGGTGACCGACTGAATCTCAAACATGTTTGATTTTCTCCTGACATTACGATTCGTGATTGGGAGGTGGTCGTGAGAGGCTGATCACCCCTCGTTACCCCCTGTATACACAATGCAGGAAGCACAAGGAGGCTGAAAGTCAGCCTGATCGACAAATTTTTGCACGACTGGAAAAAGCCCAAAAAAGGGGAAAAAATCGTACAGTATATCCCCGGCTTAAATTGTTCCTGTATACTCCTAATTTATTCCCTGTCTCCCTTCTTAAAGGTTTTTTTTCTCGTTGAGCAGTTTCTTCACATCACTTGTGACCCATGGTTTATTATTTGGGAAGCATTTCACTGCTGGTAGAGATGGTGTTATCTACACAGACTCAAAGCAGCTTTGAGGGCTTCTTCAGCTTGCCGTGACCATCTTCTTACAGTTCACTTTAATGCAGGTTTCTCTTATTCAACTGTTTTACATTTTCCACTTTATTATTTCATCTTACACTGAAACTTTGATTACACATTTTTTAACTTTTCCGTGTGCTCATATTGCTTGGGTTGTTATCAACATGTGATGTAAATTTATTACCAGAAGAAATATAAAAACTACATTTGCGTAGAAAACTGTTGACATATTCCATACTTGCAAGTGGCTGCAACAACCAAATGCCACAAAGCTGCGAATGGGTCATTTGATGTTAGAAAGATTAAAGGAACTTTGGTTTCAAAAGTGGAAAGAATAATGAAGGGGAACGCAGAAATGATTTTCATTTAAACAATGACATTTTTGTGGAGAGAATCCATCAGAAAGAGTTGAAACCTCAAAACACAACTGGGATTAATTTCTCTTATAGCTCTTTTGGACCAGCTGACTTTGTAAAATCTGAAAAGAAAACATAAATGGGATTTGATTTGGCAGAGCTGCCATTTGCACTGGGGCCCATGATCTTCTCACTTTCTTCAATCTTCTTTGCCGTTTTCTCATCTTTTTGTAGTTCTGTATTGTCAGCGATGTCACGGCCACGTCTGTCTGACACATGGGAAGCATTAGACTCCAAGAAGGATGTCAGAGAGACCAAAGAACACGCATGGCATTGGTTAGTGACGTTCCGGAGGTTGCTGGTCTTAAGTTTATTTGGGTGACCATCAGTCAAATACGTCTGAGATCTGCTGCTCTGTTGCTAACAGAGCAGCAGATCTCAGACTCCAGGTTTATTGGTTGTTCCTGAGTAGAATGAGAGGCAGATCTTTTAGTTTTCAGCCTCTCCTGTGAACCAGCTTTGGTCAGTAAGGGTGGGCATACACTGTCCAAGATTTTTCAATCTTTGTACTCAGCTACAGCTCAAACTGTACAACAAAACAATAGTACACCCAAAACATGATTAGCCTTCATTTTCTACTCACCCCCATGCTGAACAACACTCTGGAGTACTTTTTTGATATCTCAAATGCATCTGGAGATCTGGGAGGCTTCTTGCTGTCTGCTGACATTCAAATAATGGAGGTCTATGGCGCCCGAGGCAGAAAGGTCCATAAAAGTCCACAAAAAACGTGTCAATATTCCTCCATACTGCTCGTCCAATGTATTCCAAGTGTCCTGAGTGGGTAGCGTCCATAATTTACTCGAAACAAAGTCATTTAGAATGTTTTTCCTGAAAGCGCGCGCCTGCGCGTTCATGAGTCTACGGAAGCCGGCAGACCAAACCAGATGAAAGTGCGCATTCAGCGTCTGCTCTGCCGATAATGCAAGTGTAGAAGAAGAAATGTGCTGTTTACCTGTGCAAAGAAAGAAACAACGAAAGAAAAATGTCTGAGGACTTCAGTGTTGAGGAAGAGCATGAGTTCTTTGCCGAGCTGAATGCGCACTTTCGTCTGGTTTGGTCTGCCGCGGTTTCCGTAGCGTCGTGAACTCGCAGGCGCGCGCTTTCAGGAAATCCTATACACTACTGTTTATGCTCTAAAAACATTCTAAATTCTAAAGCCTGGTTCTGCTGGAGGTTTCTTCCTGTTAAAAGGGAGTTTTTCCTCTCCACTGTCGCTACAAGCATGCTTAGTGATAGGGATTGCATTCAAGTCAATGAGTCGATGCAATCAGCTGGTTTCCTTAGATAGAAAACCTTTAATAAATTTGACTGGATGATCTGGTGAGTTGTAAAGCGCCTTGAGATGATATGTGTTCTGAATTTGCTCTTTATAAATAATATGAATTGAATTAAACTGAAAGTATGCATCTACTGTATGGAAAACCCAACCTTTCGGCTTTCATTGAAATTCATACTGAAATGTTTCTGCCTTAGCTTACATGGAATGACTTCATGTGTTTTGAAGCTTCTGAGTCCTTCAGCGTCCTGATTATTAACCACTTTAAATAACAGGTCTCCCATGCGGCCTCTGGCCGCAGAACATTAGATGGTGGGATCATCAGTGGATGGAAAGTCTGTTCATTTCTTACATTTAAGCTGAAAATAGATGGTGAAGGTTCTCAAGCTTTACAGGTCAAGAGAAAAAAGCTGTTCCAGGCATTTAAAAAACAATAACATAGTTAGATAACCTTTAGAAATGATTCATTAGCAGGCGTTCATCCTATGCCTATCGGCTGAGCAGCGGACCACAAACAGACCATAAACAGATGTGCAAGAAATGAGCAGCGCCCCACCCAAACCGAGCCATCAGAGCCTCCTCTGTGTTTTTGCACAGCCATGACCTGCTGTTCCATCATCAACCTTCAAGTTCTCCATATATAAAACACGAAAACAGAACCAACAAGACCTCATGGGTGCAGTAAGCAGCTCTTAAGGGATCAGCATCTGACCACACATGTTTTTTATGTATAGGAGAAACGCCAACCTCCACTTTCGGTATCGAGTAAAATTTCCTGCATTAACGTAGTAATAGATGTAGATGTAGTCAAAATGAACGGTATGTTCGTTTTTTGTTGTTGTACATCAGAAGACTTATTACATCATGTGGTGACCATCTGTTTAGTTCCTAAAATGCAAGGCGTGTGGCTGAATAAGTGGTTTGGTCCCCACTTGGTGTGATTATGTAATATTCAGACATAGAGAGGGAATTTTGTTCAATTATTGTTGTAAAAATAAAAAGGTTGAGAGAAACTTTGATGTTTTCTCTATACATTTTATATTTTATTTTATTTATAAATTTTAGATTGAATTATATGGATCACATTCTATTCACTTCTGGGTAAACATTTTCCTCTGGAGTGAGGCGTGAAGACTCATTTATTTTTCTGCATGGTCTCTGGGAAAAAATGTTATTAGTCAATGTGCGCATCAACACACATCAGACGTTGAAGAGAATGCAAGTCTGAAAAAGAAAAACAACATTTGATCCATATAATCCAATCTAAAATTTAAAAATTAGAAAAATGAATTTAGAAAGAAGTGAAATTTTTAAAAACTTCAATACATATAAAAAAAACAGCTAAATTACTCCAAAAAGCTTTTTATGATCAAGAACTTTTATATCAGGATTAAAGTTTGTTCACAGTTCCCTTTGGAAAATCTGTCATTTGCTTGTAACAATAATAGACAACAAAAAACTCACTCTATAGAAAAATACTTTTTCTCTCAAAAATCTGACCAAAAACCTGCATAGAACTGATCTTTCTAATCAAATGTATCCAAATGACTGCCCACAATATAAGACAATTCTGAAAGTATATATATATATATATATATATATATATATATATATATATATATATAGTCCAGAAACTTAACTCAGATGCCACGTCATAAGTAGAAACATTGACACTTCAGAGAAAACATTTAGGCATTTTTGTTCCACAAGCATTTCCCTACATGGGACATTCCGGCCCCATTTAGCCAAATCTTTTTTTTATAACATAGAAAAATGAATCTAGTCAAATAAAAAAGTGCTAAAATGCAAAAAATCTTCCATAAGAACATCCAACATCTGCTGTGGAGCTGGGTCCCCTGCCTGGAGAGTGCAGCAGTGTGTGTAATTAATCCACAAATGTCAGTCCAGCTCGGCTCCAGTAACTGATTGGCACGTCCTAAATTTTAGTTTTAAAACAAAATAGTCAATGATTCAACTTACTGCTGAACTGCAGGGGGGGTCGGGGGGTGAGGGGAAGTTGTACTTCATCTTAACAAATGATATAAGGAGGTTTGGACACCATGAGAGTTTTCATTCCAAACAGTAGAAACACAAGCAGCACGCATGATCAGCAGTTAATACACGGAGGGAGCCAGAAAAAATAAAGTCATGTTAAGTGTTTTTAAAGCCTCTGGCTTCATTCTAACCCATCTGCCTGCTATGTTACCATCTGTTTCCTGTTTACACGCATATATGGGTGATTAAACTTGCCCTTCTGTGTCACCTTTTGCAGAAATCCCAAACTGTCGATACGCTGTAGGGATGCTGGTTTTGCTTTTATTTTTCTGACCTGAACAGAGAAGTGGATAAGAGTTGAAACTGAAGATAAGCAGAATCAGGGACTAAAGGCTAATTTATACTCAGAAACGAGGTCGTCTGCGTGTGTGTTGCAGTTAACGCAGATATGCCCCGCCCCCTCCGCAGACAGTCTGCTGTACCTCTCCAAAATTGTAGGTGACCGCAGACAGTGCAGCACACAGGAGGCCTCTGATTGGTCAAATCTACATCCGCTTGGTATATTACTGGCTTGTTTTGTTTTTATGACCGCCATTGTGGAAAACGACTCGTGAAGTTGGACCAGCTAGAAGAGTGAGGTGCGCAAGAAGACTGGGACCCTTTTTCCACCTGGATCCCCGCTCTTTTTGGCCCTATTGTCCCACCGTTGTCACACAAATTTGCCCCCACTTCCTCACCGCCTTGGCCGTATCTAGACCCACAGCTAGTTCCTGATTGACCCTCTTGCGTTGTGGCGTCAAATAACATAGGGCAGACCACGCTTCAATATTGGGCATAAATCAAAAATATCTGCGACAAGCTCACTGCGACACACTGCTGCAGGAGGATAACCAGACCTTAACCCCTAGAACCCGCCAGACCCACCGGCGGGTCCAGCTGCTACGTGACCTCGTAATTTTAACAAACCCCCAGTATTGATGTAAAAAAACACATTTGGCACAGTTTGGTGACATTTATGGATAAATGTGCCAAAATGGCCTCTCCGCCTAAGAAATTTCTCACTAATACCATTCTAAAATAAATATGATTCATCTGATTGAGTCCAAATTTGGTATATTTTTACACAACATTTAGATTTAAAAGTCTGTACTACTTTTTTGTGCTATAAATAATATTTTGGTAGTGTTTTGCAATGTTTATTTCAAAGAAAAATGCAAAATATTTTGTATTTTGTCCCTAATATTTCAGGCAGGGTCAAAGCTACAATGGTGCTGACACCAGAAAACCATTCTATGACATCTTACCTTTACAGACGTACCAAAAGTTTCTTCTTAAATCTAATAGCTGTGAGGCTATAAGTTATTTACTTTTGTGTGTTTTTGTCAGGCAGAAATTTATTTATACCCCCTTAGGGTGTAAGAGGTTAAACCTTCAAGAGGCTGCAAAACACTCGAGATTGGCATGAAGGTTAATCCATAACCAAAACATCAATCCTAATCAATAAAACTTTAGATGAAACTGAGTATTTTGATTTAGATAATCAAAGCACTGAATTAAAAATCTTGAACAGCATATTTAAAGAAAGTCCCTGGATCTTCAGAATGAGATAAAGCTGCAGGGAAATTCCATTGAGACCAAGAAGCACTAAATTGGTGACTTAGAAACGACACTGTCAAGGAACGCTATGGACAGAGGAAACATGCAAGAGGAGGAGAGTTTAGTGTCCATCATGCATTTTTTATTTAGAGGAGGAAAGCGGGGACGAAGATGTTGTGGAAGAGGACGCCAGGGCGGCAGAAGCTTGGTTTGGTGTAGAAGGCTTCCAGCCGTACATGTTTGAGCCCTTGCCTCGCAATGCTGCCAGTTCTGTTAGCTCTACGCCTGCTGAAGACACAGACGTCCATCCCCATGAACACTGGGACAGAACTCAATGGGAGAGTAAAGGATTCTTATTTCTTATTTCAACCGTTGCGTATATTAGCTGCGACATATGAATCAAGATGTTATGACCGAAAAAATTTGATTGACAGATGACCGTTGATATATGATTTATCGAATTTAGGTGTTCAGGCTAAAAAACCCCCACATATTTTAAGACAGGCTTTTTTTTTAAAATATAAATTTTCTAACTTTTGGGAAAATAAGGTCTGATAAAGAGTATATTTATATACATGTTTAAGCCAGAATGATTTAAAATTGAAATATGACTTCCCTAAGACTTTAAGAACAATGCAGCAGACTCTCATGTACTCTTAGACTGCTTCAGGCTGTGCCACCATTTTACCACCAGTGAGAACAAATAATTCATTCATTATGTTGGAACGGTCATGTTTATAGTGGAGCGCTACCAGTCGATAATGGTCCTACCTTCTGCTCTACGCGCTGCTCTGTCTGGTAATTCAGGATGGGACTGAGGCCGTGTTGATCTGGTGCCAGAGGATCCAGACTGAAGTTCAGGCTGATGTCAATGGGAGAGAGTTTATCCCGAAACTCCTCCTCGGCCTGTGAAAGAGACACGAGAGACGCGATAAACTAGAGAATTACGCCCTGGAGAAAGATCTAGTAGAGCAGCTCTACAGCAGGAATTATGCTTCACTCTGTATAGTTATCTCTATCAATGGTTAATGCATCTTCCCAGGTTGTATTTGTGGCTTTGGAGCAACAAATCTGTCTTAATGAAAAATAATATGGATAAAAACATAAAAATAATATTTCTGTAATATTATTACAAATAGTAGTGCAGCATTAAATAACATCTATGAAATCCATCTATTATTGATCCACCTTAATTGGTGTCTTTATTTATTCGTTCTATTTTCTATTTCATCATCCCTTACAGAACTGAAGAAATAAAAGGTCATCGAATGAATCAAAATGTATTTCAATGATTAAGTAACTCCCTCGGTCCTTTATCTAATGTTTACAAACATGACTTCAACATCTTAACCTTTTTAAATTTTGGGTCACGACACTCCGGAGGGCTTTACCGTATTAACTGGACAAGCTGTGCAAGTGAAGTTAGACACTGTTGTTTGAAAAATGAGGTCATTTATAAATGTTTTAAATCAGGTTTGGTCCGGATCCGGACCACGGTCCGCTAATCCGTGACCTCTGATGTTGGCTATTTTGTAGAGATTAGTAAACTAAAAATATTCTGAAAATCTAAACAGACTGTAGGACCAGCTGAGGGTGAAAGGAAATGCTTGTGGCATGCAGAAAATGTGATTTGTGAATCTTCTCATATTGTAAATATTTTTGTTTCGTTTTTCCAGTTGTTAGGTTTTTAAGTTATTATTGAACAATTTGCAACTATTCATTATTTTTAAGTGAAAATAACTATGAATGTTGAAAAAACTCTAAATCATGGCACAGATTCTGCATCAAACTGACTATATCACTGTGTCTTTTTGGCATGGTCCGACCAACTGCTTCAAAGCTGTTTAACCAGGGGCAGCCCTCTCTTTGGAGGAACTGTGGCAATGTTGACAGTTTATTGGAAAATCCATGTTAAAGTATAGATGTTATTCTCTAGAAGAGACTGAAAGACCATGTTGTTTTTGTCATGTTAGCCAAACAGACCAGGATAATTGCCTAAATCTGTTAATTATTCTTTCCGTTTTCTCATTGCGTAACGTCTGCTTGTAAGAGCCAAGGTTAGAAATGTGTTTTTGCATTATCCTGTAGTTAGCATAGGTTTATACCTGTACAAAATGTACAGTAGCAGCCATTCAAAATGGTCCTTCCCAGTCAAACACCAGCAGAATGACAGCCCACTTCCCTGGAACTCCCAGCAAAATCCCCTCCAACTTCCAGCCACTGGAGTGACCCCCTAATTCTCCTGGGTGTGCGTTTTATTTACTCCACCCTTTCACTGAATTACAGCATCTGACCAGAAGATGGTGCTTCTCTTTAGATCTTAACGTCCAAAAATCATGACAAAAAGAATATTTTTAGTACAAAGATTGATGTTTAAAAAGAAACTGTAGGGGACCAGCCAAGGGCCCATCAATGAAAGTAGGTAAATTTTAAATGGCTGCTACAGTAAAACTCAGAAATAAGCCACAATAAGTCCACCGGCAAACAATCAGTTATTAAGGAAACCAAACTTTTGTACTTTGGCTGCTTGATATTCTAGGCTTCCTGCATCAAGACTGGTAATATATCTTCCCAAAATAAGATTTTTTGATTGCTTTTGAGGTGCGAACAGAGTTTAAAGACTGACCCGCAGGTAGATCTTGGCTTCATGGCAGAACATTTCGCCGTTTGTGAGCCTTAAGGTCTTCAGCAGGGTGGGCTGCTGGCTCTCCAGGAACAACGTCCTCCTGACAGACTCCTTCTGGTTCCGCTTTTTGCCGTCTAGCTGCACCTCCACCTGGAAGCCTTTAAAGGCCACACAGTTGTGAAAAATACACAACGGGAGAAAAAAAAGGTCCATCATTTGCACATCTTATTGCCTTTATTTCACACAGAAACGCATATCAGCCTATGTAAAGCCGAACAAACGCGCATTTTCCCAAGATAAACATGAATGCAAAGACACACATGCACCAAGGCAGTGATTATTGACTCTTAAGCCTCTGATTTCTCTATTGTCTTTCTGTAAAGCATGTTTAGATTCATATAAGACTTTAAAACAGACCACATGAAAATACTTTCAGACAGCAGAGACAGTAGAGAGAAGCGGACTTTAAATAAACACACACGCACTTCTATAAACCCTACTCTGTATTTACACAATTGCTCTTTCATCTTGATCCTAGCTGCCAAATTGACCGCAGAGAGGTCCAGCATACTTGTGGCTACACAACAAAAGCAAGGTAATGGGGACCACGTGTGTGTTTGTACCACTGTGTATGCTTACCTAAAAGAGAGGGGAGGTGCTTCCCATCAGCCTCCAGGCAGAACCTGGTGCTGACACTGCAGGTAGAAAATACATATGCAATAAATGCCCAGGTTGTTCATTTCATGGCTCTCAGTTATTAGCTGGGATTTAATCACAGAATAACTCAAATCAGCCGTATACTCTGGATGCTGAAGTTGGTCCTTGGGGAAGCTGGAATTGTCTGTAATTTGGTGGTCAAATGTTCGGATTGGAGAAATGTCTTTAGGTAGAGGGTTTTGAAAATACCCATGAGCAGGGATTGTTAACAAGATTAGCCTAAGTTCCAGAAAAAGTGCTTATCCTGATGTTTCCACTTCCCAAAATTGAAAAAAAAAGCCATTTTAAAGACCATTTTCAGCAAAGTTTTCCTTTTCTGAACAACTGAAAGGTCGGAACAAGGATCAGTGGAGCTGCAGAGAGGGGAGGGCGATCTGAAGGTTCACTGCCAGGAAACATTGGTATCCATGGTGACCTGATAGAGCATATGTGGTGATCAATTCATCCATCCATCATCAATTTAACCATCGATCCATCCATCATCCATTCGTCCATCCATACATCCATCCAACTGCACTTTGATTTCCACATTTGAAGACGTTTCGCTTTCCATCCAGGAAGGGTTTTTAATTCAAAATGTCAGAAATAGCATTGAGTTCCAGGTTTCATAGCTTGGAATTCAACGCTTCATAGCCCAACAAAGCCTTGTTTTGGCTCATGCAATGGACCTGTTCTTCCAGTTCAATGCAAATTGAAGGGGACGAACAGGTCTGCCCCTCAGTAATGGGGAGTCATTGGGTTCTTTGTCAGCCTGCAAAACATAATACTGGTCTATGCCTCTGAAAAGGGGGTCGTTAGGGGCATTGTTGGCATGATGGGAAGCGAAATGTCTTCAAACTTGGAAAACAAAGTCCAGTGGATTGTTGTAAACTTTTTTGGGAAGACTATGACCTAGATGACCGAGAATTTTCACCAGCACCTTAATCAGATGGGTTTTCTTTCTTGATGAGGTGCTTTGGATCTAACTTGGAGTAATCAGATTGATTTGTTTAGGTAACTTTGAATTCTATAAAGCATCAACCTGGTAAGACTCGGGGGAAAGTTTTGGCATAAAACAAAAACATAGGAAATCATGAAGGGTGTAAAAACTAGAGTGAAATCCTATTACTGACCCCGACTGGTACATTACTGGTACATTTAGAAAGTTAACAACCCATGTTAGGCACCTACACTAACTGATAAACAGGACTTTTTGCTCGTTTTGTCATGTCTAATTCTTTTTACCAGAGAAATAAAAACAAACAAAGAAAAAAATACAGTAAAAGAATACTTGTAATTTTGGTAAAAGAAGCCGATCTTCAGATGTTGCTTATCCAACACCAAAACCATTTGCTCCATCAGTGAACCAGCTGGAGAAGATCATTAACATTTTTCAAAAAGGATTTAAAGAAGCGCTTCTATTTGAAAGGTTTGCTGGGAAAGATTCTCAGTCATCCAGGTCATAATCATCCCAAAGAAGAAAAAAAATAAATAAATCGACTGGACTTTGAATCCAAGTTCCCATCCAGTAAGCTTTTTCAATTAAAAATCTCAGAAATAGGTTTTATACAGTAGCCTGAAAGTGGTGTATTTCATAGAGACATAGACAGGTATGATAGCCTGATAAACCAGACTAAATGTGAGATTAAATGTGTAATGTAGTCTGACCCCGATTAATGAGACAACAGAATATTGTTGATGAGAAAAACCCGTCGTCTTTCAAACCATGTCTGTGCCTATTGTGCGCAACTGACTATGACGTAGTAAGCGCGACAGAAAGCTGGTGGTGGAGTGTAAACAAACAGCCTGTCGGTAAAACGGCGAATACGTCCTTCTTAGAAATGAATGAGCGTAGAGCCTCTCCCTCCTCACGTTTCAAAGAAAACCCCAAGTCTAATCCTTCCAAAGCTGATTCCAGCTGAGTCAAACGAGAACTATTCAATAGTTTTCCCATCTTCCTTGTTGCTTTCTCCAGCGTCGTGTAGCTTTGTCGTCACACTCTCAAAACCCCGCCTACTTTGCATCAAGAAATTCTAAACACATCTTTGCGTTGTGATTGGCCCGCCAGTTCTAGGGTCTGGGGCATTGATCGAGGCTAGACCACTCGCTGGCCAAAATTGATTTTGGCTGCTGGTGGGCGGGGCTAGTTTACTAGGCTACATGTATGAGTCATTGCAGGCTAACAAAAGAAGCCAAACGACCCCCGCTCCAAAGGGTTGGACCCATTCGCTGGTTAAATTACATGTATTTTAAACAAAATCAAGGCTTTGTTGAGCTACTGCATAAAGCCTCAAACTCAACGCTCATTGCTACATTTTGAATTGAAAAATCTTCCTGGATCGGAAACAAAACGTCTTCAAACTTGGAAACTGACTCCGCTGGATTGTTTTTGAACTTTATGGGGATTTGAGAGGTTTCCATCCAAAAAGATGACTAGATGCTAGAATGTCTAGCAAATGATCAATTGTTTTATCACAGCAAATTCATCATTAACAGATGAGTCCATACCAGGAAACGGAGACGTTTCTGTCGTCTGTGATCAGCGAACAGCTCTTCTCCTCCGGGTTGAACATGGTTGGTTCCACTGATAGAGAGGCGCTGGCTCTCACGATTGGCCGCGCCCTAATTGAAGACATAGATTAGGAATCTAATAAATATTATTACTGTACAAAACACTAACATAGTTTAAAATAAAATGGGAGATTTTGTCCAACATCATTTAAAATCTTTAAAATGTGGCAAGCATTTCTTAATTAATTTTGCTCTGATAAAATAAATCTATATAAGGCATGTGTGGAGTAAATGTTGTTCCATTATTGTAGGGATTATTATATGTTTTATAAATGAAATTTGAAAAAAAAAGGCAATCCAAAACTTCTAATAAACCTCTTAATCAAAGAAAAGTTCACAGTAACTTTACTTAGTTCTCTAAATGTATTTTCTCCAAGTTTATGTTAAAAGATATTTAATTTTTTTAATACTTTATTTTTTCATTCATTTTTACAGATACATTTTTTTTAATCTGTCGTTTTTAAACCAAGTTAAGGAATGGCGTTCTTTTTAAACTGCGTTTTTACAGATCGCATTCTCACTCGCTCTTGACGCACAAATTGACCAATTAAAATAAAGCTAACGTTCATGTAGACCAACAGGAGTGAATTTGTTCTTCACTTCAGAGGAAAGTTCTCCCTAGGAGGTGTAGAGAATTTTATTTGAAAAAGAGAAAATTGAAAAATTTTAATATGAAAAACAGTTAGAAAAAAATTTGTGAGGAAAAAAATATGAGAGAGAATTAGAAAAGAAATAAAATATAAACAAGTGAAATATTGAAAAATGAAAAAGAACAGGAATTTGGAACAACAAAATGTGAAAAAACAAAAAAAAACATTTTTAATTTGATTTTGAATTCATTTAGAAAAAAAAATGTATATAAAAAAATGTGAAAAATCTTAAAATAAAAATTTAAGAAAAAAATGTACTTTGAGCAAATGTATTTATTTGCTTGCAACATTATTTGAACTAATATCACGGCATATTACGCAGTAAACAGTGGAAGTAGAAGAAAGCTCTAGCCAGACGAGTCCACACTGGAAAAATGATCTAGAAATAAGTAAAAAATTGTATGTATTTGTGTATTTACCCTTAATTTGAGCAGGTAGATAAGATGATTTGCCAATGGAATGAATATTTTTACTCTTAAAATAAGATAATTAGATAACATGCACTTGTAATAAGGCAATTCAATTGTGTTTTCTTATTTTAAATGTAAATTGTCTTGTTCCATCAGCAAAGCTTCATATTTACCTCCTCAATTCAAGAACAAATTCACTTATTTAAAAAAAAGACTTATCTAGATTTAGATTTTTTCCAGTGCAACACTGAACCCTTTAAACTAACCACTGTCCTTTTCATCAGTCATATGTAAAATCAAAATAGAAACCCTAAAACGCTTTAAAACAGGCCCGCATAATGTGATTAAATGTGCAAATTTCATTGGCTGTGAATACTTTTGCCAGACTTACTATAAACATGCAAACTGGGTAACCTTACCTGTAAAGCACAGCCTTATCCAAACCAAACGCACCAACAATCAGATCTGCAAAAGCGGTAAGATAAATGAATGAATTGAAGACAAAACTACGGAGTTAAAAAGAAATGTGGTTCTTTTCTATACCTGGGTATCCGTTCTGATCAACATCCCTGTTGCCTCGCAGGCTAAAGCCAAAACCAGCAGGGAATGAGCCTGAAGCCCATTGGCCGGACAGAACCTGAGTAGGCACGTCCATCAGGCCTCCAGCGTGACCATTATGGATGAAAACCAAGCCCTGCTGGTTCTCCCCTCCATAGGGACAGCCGATAGCCAGGTCTAAAGACAGAGATCAAACAGGAATTTCTCATTTTAACCCTGGTGTTTATTCTAGGTCAAAACATGCTGCTCTCTTCTTTATAAATTTCTTCAGTTGCCTTTAGTTGATTAACTCTATAAGTGTTTATCAACTTCGCTTAAAGCCGAGCATACACTGTACGATTTGTTGCCCTATTCGGGCCGATTTTCCAGTCGACCGAAAATTTTTCTATCGGCCCAACTTTCAGCCCGATGGTGCATTGTGTAGTATACAGGGGGTTACTAGAGCGATGTGCCTCTCACGATCACCTCCCGATCAGGAATCGTACGGTCGGGAGAAAATCAAACACGTTTAAAATCATTTGACCGTCGTGGGCAAATCACTCAGAAAACAAGGATTCTTCTTCTTCCTCTCAGATGTAAACCCAGAAGCATTGCGGGGGTGAAAATGAATTGGAGTTCTTTCTGTAAAATTAACAGACCGTAGTAGCCATGTTTGCTCAGCTGTCTTCGTTTAAATACGTCGTCGCCTTTTCTTTTTAGGGCTTTCAGCACAAAATTGCACAAATTGCCAAGGCAGCACATTTCACACTAGAAAGCTTCATATTCCTCTTCTACTCAATTGGTTTCCGGATAGACGAGTCCGAGTAGCGCCATCTCACTGCGGATCTGAGTCCCACAAGGTTTCTGGACGTACAGTGTGAGGAGGTAGATCGCATCAGAGAATCAGGTCATACAGTATGAGAACATACATTGTGAGCTGTAAACTTTTAATCTCTGTGATTTCCCATATTCTTATTTTCAGCTTCCACATTATACATGTCAGATTAAATGATACTACTTATACTTCAGCGATAGTATCAAGGTGGTACTTTATTGCATTTCTTATACTATATTTGGTTGTGATGTTCTTTCTACATCTCTTTGCGGGTGATGAAGCAGACTGAAGATGTTTTATCATTATCTCCCTTTTATCTCCTCTTTCTTTCATATTTTCTCCTTTTTATTGTTTTTCCTTTCCTGTTCTACCTACATTGCATTGTCAACATAATCTGCAATACTCCCAGCATGAATTATTATAAACCTATTTATATGCATAATCAAGTTTGCCTTTGTTTACTGTTTCACTCCATTAAACTACAAGAAGTCTCCTCAGCCTCTCTGCCTCTGCATTTGGGTCCTCAAACCTCAACCAAACCTTGACAACCTGCGTCATAAAGTGTGAGCTGTAGCTGCGTGCAACGATTGAAAATATCGCACAGTGTTCGCCCGGCTTTACTGTAAAAAGCAAATAGCCCTTATGAGAGGAACATAAGGTAAACACTTTACTGAACCACCTTTGACTGCATTAGTGCCACCAGTCACTGTGCGACATCTCTGCCAGCGTTGCACAGCTACAGACTGTGACTATCCCGTCCATTGTTCTTCGGAAAATAACTTACTCTAAGCAGGATTGGATAAAAAGTTTGAACATAAGTTGCTACTGTAGGTTTTACCCCTAATTTCGTTCATCAATTAAATATGCAGCAGGTGTATATTCATCTTTTTGGTTGTTTGAGTAACATGAAAAAACATGATCTAATCTTTCCTGTATGTCTTCTGCAGGTTTTCATGCAGCATTGTTCTAATTTGATCCATCTTGTTCCCTGTAAATGATGAGGAAAAGCATCTTTTAAGATCATGCTGCCACCACCATGTGTAATTATGGGTTAATTTGATCAGAGCACTTTCTGACACATGTCTACTGTTGCCTAAACATCTTAAAGGAATAGTACA